AGGTAGTGGAGGCCCCATCCCTGGAAGCATTCAAGGCCAGGTTGGACGGGGCTCTGAGCAACCTGATCTAGTTAGCGGTGTCCCTGCTCCTGCAGGGGGGTTGGACTAGATGACCTCTGGGGGTCCCTTCCAACCCAAAACATTCTATGATTCTATGATCCTTTGTGCTGGGAGGAGAGCCAGGGAAGACAGGGGTTCTATTTCTAGAGACAAAACAGGAGGCGCAGCATAAAGAGATCCTTCGAAAGATCAACTGCTCTCTGGTGCCCAATTGCACAGAACCAAATCGAGCCCTGTAGAAGGAGGGGATCTGGACGGAGATCCTCCTTCAGGAATTATATCCCTTTTGTTTGGTTTCAGAGGCTTGAAATAAAGGGCAAGAAACCTTCTTGGTCTGTGTACTTGTGCTACAGAAATGTAGTAGATACTTCTCAAGTGGTTTTCTTTCCTATCCAAAAATCAAATGATGTATTTTCTACAAGTATGAATATCTTTTCCATTACTCAAACACTGAGATAGGCACATAAGCCCTCCTTGATTAAGGACACATTTTCTGCATTCCTGTCTTATTTTCTTCCTCCCTTTCTGTGAAATGGTATTTTAGATAAAACGTTGAAGTTCATTGATCTCTACGGCTTATTCCTCACCTGCAGCTACAAACCCATTTGTGTTGCTGCAAGTAATTACAGTAGAGATAATTATGGTGATACAAACACAGGATTATAAATTTTGGTTAGGGTTAGGCAGCAGGAGACAGGCTTCTCAGGGAAACATTCTTATTTTCATGTAAATGCTTATTAAAAATGAGAAGACAGTCCTTGATCTGCAGAAAACTAAAAGGGGGAATACAAATTAATTACTTCTACTCTAAATTGCAAAAATAACATTATCTATGTTTCCATCAGGTACTGGCGGCTGTTATGGAAACCAGCCTATCCTTACAGCAAAAGGTAAAAAACCAGCACTGATGTGGCTAAAGGGATCCCCTAATTTTATCCGGCTCAGCAAATTGAAAGCAGTGATATCATTTCATAGAAGTGCAAAATATATTATTTAAAGGCAGGGTTCTAGTGAAGAAAATGGTGATGCTGAGTGGGAAAATAACATTTTTCTTTTCTGCCCCTATTTCCTTTCCCTCCACATATGACATCTTCTCTTTTCCATCCAGTTTCTCTCAGTTTGTATCTCAGCCACAAATCCCAGTACCTTCCACACTCCTCCAGAAGATATTCTATAAGCTGCAGTCCTACGTGTGGGGTTGCTTGTGAAAGCCATTACTCTGAGAGGTGAGATCAGAGCCTCTCAAAAGGAATTTGGAGACAAGAATTATATATGGATGCAAATGTCACCTATTTCTGTTTGAGTCAATAACCCCTTCCACTAGTAGAAATTAAATCAAATGTCATGGAATTTAGGGAATTCTCCAGTTCCTCAGGCTAAACTTTTGCTCAGCAGTTTCTAGAGGTAGATATTACTCTATGCTGCTCTTAAACCAGACATTCATTGCAGAATATTATCTTTTGGCAGTAAGATTCTGCTCTCACAAGACTGTAAATCCACCAGAATTTAACTACCACTAGAGAAACAGATGCAGAAGTTCAGATTACTAGGCGGGACAATAGCGCTTCATCACTTTGCACACCCATTTGAACTGAAAAACGAAGAGGTTAGCAGCACTTATTCAGCATGGTATTATAAGGAACTATTCCCTCAAATGTTACTTGTCGTGAAAATACCATGGAATACATTCCCATAGGTCTGTGGAGAACACCCCTTTCCCCAGAAGTAGCCAGAACCTTGCACTTCTTTTTTAGCAGATGCACACCTTGGGGCATGTGGGATGAAAAGCACTGCCCTACAGCTGCTTTTCGACAACAAAACTCCAAAAATATTTACCATGTCTTGGCTGGTCCTTGATGATGGTGTAGGTTATCTCGGCGTCACGGGCACCGGGTAGCTCAGCGTGCAGAATTGTCTTGGAGATCTGTAGCATGCCTCCCTGGGGCACCCAGACCAGGGAATTCGTCACCAGTTGAGGGTTTCTGTTATTCTGCATGCAGGGGGACAGCAGAAAAAGGCTTAACTGAATGTCAGCAATGCTGCACTGACGGAAACAGATTTCCAAATGAAAAGGATCAAGCGGAGTATTTTGGAATTTCTTACACATTCAACCCCGGTTGTCTACTTCAAGAAATGGTTGTGCATCCTTCACACCCAATTCTCACCCTGTAGAACTGACCTTGTCCTCCAGTGCTTCTAATTGCCTGTCGCTAACCCTAAACCTTCTTGACCTCAGTCTCCCTCTATAATTTTGTCTTTTACCACCATCCTCATTCTCTCTCCGCTTGACTTTTGACATGTCTTGACAGAATTTATCTCCATGGCACAGTGGAAAATTCACCACTATCATAATCTGAAAAAAAGTATCCAGCCTACTACACTAGTTTGATTGGATCCACATTTTCTCACTTTATATCTTCGTCTCTTCATTTTATTTTCTAAAAATACACACCTTTCAAGGGTACTTGCAGAACAACAGCTTCTTACCCATTCAAAAGTATCTCTCTATGGCACCTCCACTATCGTTACGCACCTCTATAACTGTTACCACCTCTCCACGAGCAAACCCAGGTTCAAGATCAACCTCATGCTTTTCTACAAGATGGGGGAAAACTGAACTGAAGGGTATGCAAATGCTAATGATGAATTCTGGCAGAAACATGAACTATGACAGTCTTCCATCCTTTGCTTGAACAGCAGCAATTTAACATTCAGAAATCAGATCTACAAGTTCCTCTTCGTTACTACTGCACCAAATCCTCATCGCTACTTTTGCTATGTTAGAACATACTTGTAGGAAGACTTTTAGATCAAGTATCTGCTCTCCCTGCGGGGATTTAAACCCATGGTCAAGTAATCTCTTAACCACGTTAGTAAAACTGAAGTCTGCCTGAGCATCCATCGAAGTCTTGTGCTTCGTGGTGGGTTTTCTAACCTTCAAATTATTCCCGCAGCTTTTTTTCCAAATGAATATTTGTCCAATATTCATTCAAGATTCTTCAAATGTGGATGTCAGGACTGGATGCAGTAATGATTTCACTGCCATTTTCATATAAGTCCTCTGGCATTCAAGGATTATATTAGCCCTCTTTAGCTCTAAATGACTTTGTTAGCTCATGCTCTGTTGGACAGGCCACCAAAATCCCCGTGACCTCTTCTGTGCCATGGTTCTTTCTTACAAGCCCAGTTGCTGTAAATGTGACTTCTCGATTTCTACAGATTCACCTTGGAACTGGCTGTGGTGAACTGCATAACTAGTCAAAATCCTGACTGCTCCACGTAAGTGACCATCTTCCCCCTCCTTTACTACTCCACATAACCATGTGTCACCCCAAAACTGATCAATGACTCATTACTATGTTCTTCTGAATCCGCAACAGAGATAGACAGAGCTAAAAAGATGTTTGTAAAAAAGAATGACATTAAAGGATGATTTTCCATCTCCATTTTGACATGTCTGCTGAGCAACTTTCACCATTTAATTTGTACTACACTTACTTTGCACAGCGTTCATTTTTAAAGGCCACATGATCTTAGACTGTGTCAGGTCACGAGTTTCCAGCACAACAGCTGGTTTATTTTTTTTTTTCAAAGAACAGTGAAGAAGAAAACCAGACCCTGTGCCAGCCCAGAGAACCCTGCCAATATATATGATAACTTTCCTCTGACCTTATCGATTTGATCACATCATGACACATATAGGCCTAGCAAAGCATAACTCTGGAACGGGAAACAAATGAAAAAGGTCAGAAAGGTCCCTGGATTTATTGTGGAAGGAGAGAAAAGAGAAACCAGCCACACTTTGAAGAACGACAGGCAAAATGCCCTGTCTGAAAAGAAAATATTTCTAAGTGAATGCTAATTAAACACAAGGTCGTGATTTTGCTATAAACGTGGAACCTTTGAGCTTTTCGGTAACTGAATGATTGAATGTTCCTTCACTGGCCACATTAAACCAGTCCAGCATTTTGTGACACCGCTTCGACCTGGCTTTGATGCTGCGATCCTGGCTTGTTAATAAGAACACATTTGTGAGACAGCTCTTTTTGCTTGGTAATCTTTTTAAAAATATCTTTAGCGACAAGCTGTTGTCTGATCAGAGTGCTCACCCTGTGTTCCCCAAAACAGGTAGAATCACAGAATCACATTACATTTCTTTTTTTTTTTTTAACTGATACTTCAGCACATAGTTAGCAAACTGCGGGAATGAATTCACAGCACAGGGAAAGTGTTTTTGGAGAGCCCGGAGAGGCTAACATGCTCCCTGGCCCATGCTTCAGCTACCTGCTCCCAGACAGGGCAAGGTGCGGTGCCTTGCAAGTATCTTGGAGACCTCCCTTAGCTGGACCTCCTCTAGAGGTCCAACACACCCCTCAAATAAACATCTTTTGCCTTTTTCCTGCATTCGCCCCAGTCCCTCGGAAAAGAAAGGCTTCCCTATCCCATCAGCAATGGGCAGGTCACATGTGGGTAGGTCTGACCTCCTCTGACTTACAGCACATAGCCTGAGATCATATTTTCTAGGGCATGGGCTCCTTATTCTCCATTGGAGCACCACTGGCGGTGCTCTGCCAAAAATGAAGCACCAGCAGGTCTCAAGTTGACTTCGCAGAAGCTGTAATTGTTAGAGAAGGTCAACAAAAATATACAGCAGTGCAAATCGTTATTAAGAGCTCTTAAAATAGAGGCCAGCTGCTCAGTAGGTCAAACAAAGCGTTTGGATTCGGCCAAACAGGGCAAAGCAGGCTGTTAGCAACCAAAGTGACTAAAAAAAGCTCCTTGCAGAAAACACGGCACACCCGTTGGGAAGAAACAAACCCCTCTAATTCATAACATTTGGAAGGTTAGGTTGTCCTTCATTTATGTTTTCCTACTCTCACCACAGCGCTTCTATGGATTAATGTCTAAGAACGATACTGTCTGAGCCCATTGAATAGGAATCCTAGAAATGCCCTTTCACACCAGGACTTGCTATATAAAACCATCCAGCAGCACATGATAACAAGCTCTGTGGACTCAGATAAGTAACGTGGTTAAAAAACCACACCTTGAACTCCCGCACCTCCAGCCAGAGTCCTACCAGGCTTTTTAGCAACCTTTGGATGTAAAGCACGGGAAAAAAACCCCAAACAAGTGTCTTTGCATGTGTATCTCAACAGCGCCTTTTCAGAGACAAACCCTGCAGGTGTTTCAGCTCCCAAGGCTACTCCACAAAGACGGTAATGAGGATGAAGCAGGAGCTGGGCATCTGCCAGCCCTACCCTCATGCTAAAAGCCGCTCCGCTCTCACCTCTGTCACCACCTTCGTTCTTCGCTGTAGCCAAGTGCTGCACAAAGACACTTGGAAAGATAACGAGAGGAGACAAGGCAGCTCAAAATCATCTAATAAAATAAACTATACTCAGCAATTCACCCTCACTGGCATTTACAAGAACCCGCTTAATCAATAGCAAAAACAATAAAATGTGTTACAAACAACGCAGAGTGGCGCCCGAGCGTTTTTACAGTCCTGATCTTCTAGAGGCTCCTTAGGGCCACGGAAGTGATGTGGGTAAAGAAAGCACAGGCAGGGCTGCTCTTATTCCAGGAGTCTAATAACTCAGCAGCAGCCTTGAAAGTAACCCCTTTTTCATTCCCAGACTGATGTGTGTGTGAGTCATGTCACTAATTATCATTAATTACTACCACAACTTTAGGAGCACCCACAGGCTCCAAGTGGGATCAGTCCCTCCTTGTGCTAACTATAGAGACGCACGTAGCGCTTGTAAACTTTACTTAAAATGTTCATGCCCAACTTGCTGTGAAAGGCATCCAATACAGCAGAGAACAGGACAAAAGAGGGGTAACAACATCTCCTCCTAACTCCATTTCAGGAGTGGAAGCACTCAAAGATTGTGTAATTCTCAGATCCATACAGAAAATGACTGCAAACAGTGGACAACTTCTCTGACAGCTCTATTTTTCATTACTCTCTCGCATGGACTAAGGGATAAGGAAATTGTCAGCTTTTTTCCCTTCTGTTTTATTACAATATCAGGACTGAAATGGTTCCAAGCTCTTCAGCAACTTCATTTTTTTCAAGGCTCCACCACACATACCGTCCGTATTTCATGCCTTGTTTGGTTGGGGTTTGTTTCATAAACAAATGGAAAAGCACCACTGTTTCTAATTTTACTGCTCTAATCACTACAAAATATAATACAAAGTGCCACTTCATGTCCAAATACAGAAGAGACAAAAAACTGTTACTTAATTATGAACTGCAATGAAAGCAAGAAACAAAAATTAAAATACTTCTTAATAATTTCTGAACTCAGGTATCTGTGCCCTGTCCTTAGTGAAGTTACCCAACAGAAAGATGCATCAAGTGAATGACTTCAGTCGAGCAACGCTGAGTGAACTGCAGAGATCCTGACCTTGGCTGACACCACCAAAGAACAAGTGCTACACCTTATCAGCCAAGTTGTTTTGTTGATGTGCAGTCCTTTTGTGTCTCCCATCACACTCCCATCAGCCCAGTGACTGGTGTGCCTATCTCATCAGCCTTCTCTCCCCGCCATCCACTCATTCCCTAATTCATTGCCCTTACCAGTGCAAAACTCTCACCTGCAACTCCAGAAAATCTTTTTATCAAATAACTATGGACTTTGAACTGTCAAAGCTGCATAATTTGAGTTGAACCATTCCTGCCGCAAACCAAAAATTCAGGTGACCTCCAAAACTCAATCAATCCACTACTTTCTCCTGTCTCTGACCACAGCCTGTCGGTAATGCAGGATTAGTGACACCTCAGGGACATAGTGATACTTCTCCAGACTTCTAATTTGCCTGCGAGGGTTTAGGCCACAGCACATACCTTGGGAACAATCTTGATGTGGAACAAGATGTTCTGGAAGTGATACCCGTCGTTCAGTTGCAAAAGTACTGCATCATCCTGGGTATCGGAGCCATCGTGAGCATAACGCAGCAGTCCGTTGGCAAGGTCACCCAGGTGGAATACGTGGACTGCAGAAGCCGAGCCTCCAGGAGGCCTGATCAGCCGCCCGTGACGTGGAGGCTCTAAAACCATCAGCACGACGTCCTGAGGATTGTCGCCGTCTCTCACACCAAGCAACAGTTCTGTTATAGTTCCAATTTTCCCTCTGCGGACAAGGAGGGCCTCATTTCTGAACACATATGGGGCCTGAAAGACAAAAGCAGCTCTTAGGTGTTTGCTAGACCTTAGCAATTTGATCATGATCAAAGTCTAGAATGAAAAACTTGGGGTTAAGGAAATTAGCTCACTTCATCCCTGGAAACCTCCTATTTCTAAGCAGCAGAGAATCCCTCTTCACACTTCCCCACCCCCAGCAGGCAGATCTAAGAATATCTAGCAATTGAGACTGATTTAGTGACATTAAAAGAAGATTCTCATGCCACAGCAAGCTTAGGAAAGGAAAAAAAAAACCTTAGGACATTTATAGGAAAGCAATTTAGTTATCAGGTAGAGCCTGTATTCCCTTTGCTGTCTGCATGGGTAAGAGACAAGGGACACAGCTTTGCCTTATTACCATCCACGGAAATTCAAATGGAAACACGGACCCCGATTATTTTGGGAGGTCTACATGTTAGAAGCACATCCGCAGGCCCAACTGGAACGCAGGCACCTCTGATGCTGAAGATTTATGCCTGTGAATAATCAGTTCAGGGTGGGTTGGGGATGGAGACACAGCACATTCTCCCTATGTATGACCTACAGCTTCGATACCTTGGACATCTTTCAGAGCACTGATGCTTGAGAATAAAACCCCACACAACCTGTGTACCCAGGTTATCTCTCTAAAATGGGGGAAAAAAAGGAAGCAATGAAGAATGCCAGGGGCGGGAGAATAACCTACCCAGGATACTAACAGCAGCGAGCCAAACTGAGAGGCAGAAGCTTGAATTAATGCTTCTAAGTAGAAATGAGTCCATCAGCTAACACCGAAGGATGTGCTTTGGCTTGTCTTGAACTGATAAAGTCCATCTCAAAGACACCGGTCCATCTCAAAGACACCAAAACTGGGTGTCGTCAGCATTATTATTTATTTATTTTCAAAGACCCCACGCAGCCTTATTCATCCCAGAATGAAGATCAGCTAGAGACCACATTTCTGCTGGTTTAAATTAGTTCCCTAGTTCGTCGTCGCCAAGGAAGTTAAAATCTGCAGTCTCTGTCGATCCCAATAAGCATCACTTGCCACCAGTAATACCTCGGCTCGGGAGGGGGGTGATCCCACAGAGACAAAGTCATCAAAGTCATCTGCCATCTCACCTGCATACAACTTATCAGGGTTATTAAGGATCGGCAGGCAAAATTCCTACTATTAAACCTCACTTATGTATTCTGGGGCAGTGACTGAAGCTCTTATTTAGGTGAATATCCTACTGAGGTAAACAAGAGATTAGACTGAGCGAAGATTTCAGCACCAGCCAGAATCAATATACACGCAATAGGATGAAAATCCATAGTTTGTCTTACACTAAAGGACAAACGAGAACAATTCTAATTTCCAGAAGTTATAGAATGACTCATATGGAATATAGTGATTAAAAGCAACAAAGTGCAATTAAATAAAAACTAGAATTCCGAACCCTGAAACTACCACCTCTCTAGGATCCCAAACCATAAAAAAACCAAGCAGTGCGAAGTCTCAAGATTGTCAGAGAACCATGGAAATGATGCATCTAAGGACGAGTTGTTTCCTATAAGGAACCCTAGATATATTAAATTAGAGACCCCCCACAGGGCCCCAACATTGTATGTAGTGAGCAAGTCAGCAGCTCGCCATGTTTTTGAGCTGCTGGCTACGCTCCTACTACACTCAGCATGAAGCACAGAAAAGCACCAGCTCCTTCAGACACAAACTCATCCACCACTGCAATGACTAAAATAAATTAATTTCTTAAATTACTCATTGTAACGATGGATGCTGAGTCAGGCTTGCAGGCAGGAAGGAGTCAGCACTAAAAGAGAAAGGATGATAGCCACATTTCCAGTTTCAGTTTTATCAAGCCATTTAATGCCCCTCTGAGGATGTCAATGGGCCTTAAGAGCAGCAGACTCTCGTTTGCACTTTAAAGTCTCTTTACACCGCTAGAATATGCCAAATAGCCACAACAACTTCAGTTCAAGCAAAGCTATCTGATCAGGCTTTCAACTAAACAGTTTGACTATGGAAAAAGCTCGGTGCAAGCTACAAAGCCTCCTTGGAAACGTGGACCCCGTTCAAGTGAGTCCATGGTGAATTCGCTGCCGGCATAACCAACAGCAGAAGCTGGGCTGGGCAGCTCCAACACGTCCACTGCCCTCACAGCAGCATCAGAGGAACACCTGTAGCTCGAGTGGGAATCAAAGCCTGTCCAGAGGGATGTGATATGACCTGCTGATAGGCTGAGCTTTTGGCACATGCAACTAGGCTGGGCTCGAACAGCTCCTCCATTCTGTAACGCTGCGCCCTCTCCCTTAATGCGTATCTTGCACATCTCTTCATACCTTGCCTTTTAGGGACCCTACCCTTAGAAAAGGAGTCACAAACATACTGCCTGTATACCATCTCTTGGGCGAGGCCCCTCCACAATATCGTGCTACAGACTTTAAATAACAGTAATACGAGAGACACGGACACTTGACAGTACCATCAACTTGCCTAGAAGTGGTGAGCAGTTTAAGCAACACGCTTTAAATAGCTCATGCTGATTTAATTCCCAACTGTCCGAGAACAGAGCATTTAGGTAAATGCTCTTGACTGTCAAAGCATCCCTACCATAGGGATCAATCATCGTTCAATTACCCTGCAGTAAGAGACTGAACTAGACCATTCGCGGATCCAAAGAATAATTTTAACAGTAGGGAATCCTTACCCCTCGCTGGTAGTTGCTCTATGGTTGCATGGCTACAATTCCCCAGCACAAGCAAAATTACATGGGCCAGCTTCTTCGGTCACTTACCCCAAATCCAGTTCTTCCATATGACTCTTGGCTGCCTCTCAACGAAATGAGAGTTGAGCCTAATTTGCCTGACCTGAACTCCAGCCCAAGTTTTGCCCAGCTCCTTTGTTATCGCTGCGAGAACCCAGGGCTCCAAATAGTAGAAAATTTGTGGTTGTTTCCAAGCTTTGTTACTTTACCTGTGTTGAAAATGCTTGAATGTTGACCACCTCAGGATGGGAGAAGAACTGTTGATCGCTGACCTTCAAGGAAAACTGTCCTTTCCTAAACAAGTCCCCAACAAGCCAAAATACAGAAAAACTTAAATTAATGAAGTGCTCTTGCAGGACTCAGTAACGATAAAAATATTACCTATCCAGTAAAAATGACTAGCTTAGCGACAGAAGCTTTAGCTCAAGTTTTTTCAATTATGTTTTTATAGCATTTTTTTCTGGAGATTCACAGCAGTCACAACATGCAGTAGAATACCTTTAACTATGTAATATCATACCCTCATTTCCCTTTAACTAATGTTACCCACATAGGACGGCATCTCCAAGATAAAGTACTGATCCTAAATGTCAGCTGGTCGCTGCTAAAGAAAAATGTCACCTGGCTTCGGAACAGAAGCTCCCACTTCTCAGCACTTTTGCTTTCCATTTACTTTTCAATAATGCCACCCAATAACCTTGAACATAAAGTAGCCATGTATCTCAAGACAAGATCCTGACACTTCATTGTGACTACCAGGCAGACAAAAAATAAAAGCATGATACAGAAACACATGTCTTAAGTCTAGTGAACATGAGCTAACCCTTGGCATTGGAAGGACACCCTGAAAGTCTTATTGAAAACAACGGATCAAAGAACACCCTGAATATAAAGGCAGAAATTTAGAACAATTCCACTGATGTCAGTCTAGTCCCAAGGCTTTACAGTGATGTAAATCAAGTGTGAAATTTGGCAGGATGACTGGCTTATTGCCTGGCAGCAGGAAAAATCTGCTTTCTTGCAATGTGCTTGCAGTGTGAGCATTGCCAGCCTCTAATCACCACTAATTATCCCAGGACACTAACAGAGCTCACACTGCAGGCAAAGAAGTAATGGCTGAATGCAGATTATGCCGCAAAACATACTGCTGACATCATTTGAGCATCTTCCTGATAGTATCAAGAAATAGTTGTAAGAACCAGACTAATATGCCAGTTTTAAACACACAGCAGAGTATCCTGAAGATGAGACAGACTCCTGCAGCCCCAAAGCACAATAGGTTTGGCAGCTGGATTACAGTGACCTCCTATACCACAAACAGAGAAGTTTTGCACCATCATTTATGCTATGGTACAGTATAAATACATCGGCAATTTATTTAACAGCAGTGAGAAGTGTTGTAAGAATGTGTCCAAGGAACAAGGAAATACCCATTCTCAGGATACACTGACTTTTTTTTAAGGCAACAGCTCTGAAAGAAGTTTCAACAGAGTCACCTGGATTTCTCCTTGCTGTGCACAAAGCGGACTCTCTTCTCCTTCACATCCTTGCAGTTGAAGTGGTCGCCTTTGCTCAGCTGCACCTCTTTGCCATTCACCACCACCACCAGCCTGCCGTTGGAGGGGGTGCTGTCGATACGGAACAAGAGCTGTCCTGTGTCACCATCCAGATCACACACACCCAGTAAGGAGAGGTCTAGGGGCTTTACCCCGCCGATTCCTACTGTGAGGGTACTGTTCATGTGGAAGCTCGTGGGACGTTTGCTGGCTAAAAAGAAAGAAGAGAGAAGTATCACTGAATGAATTACAGCCATGGGCTGGGTCAGCATCTTGCCTGTCACTACCATCTTTTGGCTAACAGACCAGACCCTTCTAATGCCCTGTTCGTTACTGACCTAGGTGGACAACCACCATCTCAAGAAGAACTGCAATCCATCCCAATCCCCACTATGATTTTGAGAAGCTTGGGCAAGTCACTTCCCATCTTGAGTTTCCCATCACAAAACTCAAAGCCAACATACGCTGGCCTGCCCTGCAGATGGACCAGTAAATCTTCGATTAGAACACAGAAAAGATAAGCAGGTACTACAGTTGGTTTAGTAAGGCATTTCCCCAAAGGTATTTTTTCATTTGTTTGACATTGCTGATAAATGATGCTGCGATTGGAAGGATGTGCCTCCATACCTAACTAGGTAACTTCACTTAGAAAACCGCATACATGCACACTTTATGAAACAAAAAAGTTGGAGAAAAATAGCTGCCAACTTTTAACAGTCAATACGAAACCGCACAAAACTGAATTCCAAAAATGCCACTGAATGAACGCTACCTCTGGCCTTAAGATCTGCTGGAAGCCTGACAGCTCGCTTGCTTTACCATAAGAGACACTCACCTTCTTCGCACTCCCTGGTCCACGTGTTGCCATAGAAACCCTGGCCACAGGCAGAAACACACATCTTATTCTTCAAAAACGTGGTGCTGTCACAGAGGTGGCACAGGCTGTCACTGTCACACGCCAAGCATCCAGGAGGACAAGCTGAATCGGATGGAAAGCACAACCCCATTGAGACACTGCAAAACCAGTGCAGCCACTGGTGCACAGAGCTGTCCCCGGGGGTCAGAACAGAAACACCACCACTGTTTGTGTCTCACCTACCTGACTAAAATAATCAAAAAGAAGGGGCAACGAGTAGAGATAAAAGTGTTGTTAAGAAGTTCCTTCCTCATTTGACCACTGTTTGCCATTGGCTACAGAGAACCTGAGATAATCTTCCAAACGGAAGAAACGTGCTTTTAAGTAACTGTTATACCGATTTGAAAAAAATACTCCAAATACATATCCAAGCCCTACGCAGCTTGTTAACCCACAAGTCAACCGAAACCTTTCTAAAAATGTGGGTTTAATACCTTTTTTATACACAGTGTGCACACACATACACACGCACACGAGCAGCCGTCTACACTGAATCGCATTCCTCCTGAATTAGGCACGTCCAAATGCAGATATAGCCTGTTATCTAATTCTCAAGTTGACTGCATCACCTCAACAGCAAGGTTAACACAGCATCCAAGCGCTTCCTCTTCACCCCAGCCTCGGAGACAAAAAGCAGTGTTACAGAACATAGGCTACAAACCCTGGTCCCTCTCCGCCATATCACCCTCACTTTGCTTACCTGCGCACTTGCGCTGCGCGTGGTCTGCATAGTATCGCTTCCCACATTTGTGAACACAGTAAGTGTCCAAGAGGAAAAACGGGGCTTCGCAAAGGCTGCACTCGTCCGCTTGGTGACACTGAAGGCAGTGTTGATCACACCCTAGAAGTCATACGTAAAGAGTTCAGCTCAGCACCGCTTTCAGCTGCTTCCTGTGCTGTGCCGTAGCACCCCGCAGGAACCACAGCTCTGTGGCGTGCGTGTGCTGGAGGGCAGCGAGAGATCTGAAGCTAGAGCGTGCCTTCTGAATGCAAAATGTGCACAAATTGGAGACAAGCAGGGAAACGCGCTGGCAGCAGCAATTAGAAGTAACGCTCAAGAAGAACTCACTCTGGCATGTGTCTGATTCCTTGTAGAAAGCTGCAGGGCACTGTTCCACACAAGCTCCTTCATGGAGAATGTAGCCCTCCATACACTGCAGGCAGTCAGTCCTCTGGGGACCTTTACAAGCGTTACAGCTCCAGTCACACTCTGGAAGAAAAAAAAAAAAAAGTCAACACAGGGCAGCTCTTTCTGGGGTGCTCACCCTATACAAGTGCTCAGCACTTGGGGTCTACAAGCTATGGGAATATAAGCCCTAGGAGCAAAGAGCACAGTAAAAACTGTTAAAGTGATCCTAAAAAGAAAAAAAAGAAAGCATGCTTTGTATTGAGTGACTTAGTACAACTCAAAATAGTGACTTATTACAACTCAAAATACAGGTTTTTTTTTTCCTCTCTCAGATTTAACATGTTCCAACTATGTCGAATTTGAGCAGGCTTGGCTCTTGTTCAGCATTCAGACCTGCTAACACTGGCACAGTTTTGTTGCCCAGGAAGCTTGACTTTAGCCCATAAGCAGCAATGCTCCTTTTCTGCCACCACCAAGTTCGTTGCTCGTTGGCAATTATCCACCCCATCTTATCAATCTCATGCTTTCAAATGACTCTGACCAAAAGAAAATGAAATCATTGCTCCTCACAGTCCAAATGCCCCTCTGGAGAGTACACGGGCCAGAAACACACTGGGACCCAACCTGCCTTCACATGCTCCTGTACAGTGTCCCTTCCAGTCTTCAGCAGAGTCCCAACCACGCACACGTGCCCAAGGAGTCCTCGGGCTGCCAACGCTACTGTTTGTTTCTTGGTGGCACTTAGATGGTCCGTATCAGCAATTAATGACAGACACCCTTGGCTGATGAGACAGACAAATGGGCAAGAGGAAGAGGGGGGGAAACGAGGGCTTGCTGAGGTGAGCTGAACCACTCCAGTCCGTGCAGCGGGTCCAAGACAAAGCCAGGACAAGAGTCCTGCCTCATTCCAACACCCTAAACACCAGACGTCACCTCTCTGAAGAACCGCAGCGTTAAGGGGACAGATGCTACTGAGGTTCAGGTACTGAGAGCGCCTGCTAGAAATGAACACTAAACAAGTCACTTGTATTATATCCTGGTCCTAGTGGTGTTAGCTGCAATAAAGCCCCGTTATCCTCACTTATTTCCATTATGGAACACACTCCTTCGGAGTTCTGGAAATATTTCAAGTCATGCGTCTTTTAAATCACTCCGAACTGTTGTTTCTGCAGTCATCCAGAGATGCAGTATTCAATAAGACAGAGAGAGGCAGGTAAGTACACAAGGCCCTATGAGCACTCTAAAAAAGATTTAGCCTGGTAAGCTCACTCGTTATTCAGCTGACCCATGACTAAATGAATTGCTGGACCTGACCCTTGAAAAGTTTGCTGGCTCACTTACTAAATCATTTACAAGAGAAGGATTTGCAATAATCTTGTTTCACTGGAAGGCTGAAGTATGTGACAGCAGACTTGTGAAAAAGAGAAAAAAAGTCAAAGCCTCGCAACAACGCCCCCCCAAACACACTCTTTAAAGCAGGCCACCTGCACAGGTCCTGCTGCAACGTAATGGAGTCTTAGCCAAGGCACTTGGAAATTTGTTTTTCTTTAAACCAGCAATGTGTTTTTCACCTCTGCAAGTCTTGCTGGAAAAATCCAGATAATACTGCTGAGCACAGCTCTCATACTGGCACTCTCCAAATAACAGGACCTTAGCTGGATCTCGGCAAGACGTACAGCCGGTGGCTGATTCACAGCTCAGGCACTGGCTGTCGCAAGCTGTGGAAAGACAAAGACAAAGAAAATAACTGTAATTACTGATGCACCAGCCAGCTGTACAAGTAAAAATGGTATTATCTTGTAGCCTTGCTACTCCTCTTGTCCTCTTTGAGCGACACCTGTGGAGACTTCAGAGTTTTTGCTTCTTACGTTCCTTTTCACGGCCTCCAAAATGTAAAAAGCCTCCTTCCATTTGGAATAGACTCTTAAGTCTCCTCACACTGCTTCTTCCTCTCCCCTGGATAGGTCAGGGTAAAACACTGACCTTGAATTCAAATCCCCAAGTAAGAGCTTTTCCTGCCTCCGTTTTTCTTATTCTCTTTGCACAACCTGCGTTTCATATGATTCCAGACTTAACTCGTAATGGACAAATTAGGAGACCACAACAGACTGCTGCAATCCAGTTAGCAAACCTTGGTGGGACCAAGGGCCCATTTCATTTCACTTAATATTTCCACCTTTTCATTTGCACACAGTGTGATGTTTTGGAGCTGTAGGGAGCAAATAAAGATGCCAGGAAAAAATAATTCAGGGATTTACTGAATCTAGGATCAAAGTCCAAAGGTTCAGAATATTTCAGCTGACTTCTTTGATGTCTAGCATCTAAACTTCTCAGGAGGCTGTACTAAAAGCCACGTGTTACTCACTGCTGATGTCAGAGCTCTTAGCTAATTCGCAGCAGAAGATTTAGGGGCAACGTGCTATGGAAGATCGACAAATATTTCCTAGCCCTTTGCCTATGCACTGAAAAGCTTGCTCTGGTTCTGGTGAGATGAAATTTTACAAAAATAATACGCAGAAAACTCACAGAGGTTCACATGTCTGCTTTATACAAACAACCGTAACTGCCCACTGTACAACAGTCAATGATGCAAAAGGGACTGCTCAATTCCCGGCCAGCTACCCCTGAGTTTCACTAAATCCATCCAGGGTCTGAATCTTTGCCCAAGGTCAATTCCGTACTTATGATAAATCAGAAGAAAGCTCTGAAAACACAGCCCCAAGTGTTTAAACTACAGAATAAAGCACAGCTGGCCATTTTTAATGGAAAAAACCAAACAAAAACCTGTTACGGGATTTAGCGCAACTACTAATATTGACATGTTACTTGTGGTAACATACTGGTGATATGCTAATTGTGGAATGCTAATTCTGTGATACGCTGACTGTGGAAATCCACTTCAATTTGCTTTCAATTCAAGACCCAGTTTTGTAACAACAAAACCTCAAAATACCAAAGTTAATGTGAAAATACCTATGTTGCTCTCACTGAAGTGGGAACCCAGCACCCTTCAAAATGGTTACTACTTTAAGCTCGTCTAAAAAATGTCACAGAAGGCCTGTGTTTTATTGAAGTACAAATTGATTTCTAACAAAACGTTTACCTAAAGAATCTAGTAGCTGTTTTTTAGGTGCTCTGGTGCCAGTCTGATTTCACTTAAGAATAGTACACGGAAAAATTACTATTTGTAAGTGCTACGGAAAGCCAACTATTGAAAGTACGGTAAAACATTCCACATGAGGTCTAAATCTATAGAAATCAGGTTACCCATGGACGCATGCCAGAACAATAAGCAAAAACTGTATTTGAAAGCAATCCTGTCTGCTTGTTTTATCGGCATGACTCCGTATCTGCATTTTTAAAGCCATGAAGAACTTGTTAAGCTTTGCATTGTTCCTCAGCCAGTATATCACTGAGGTTAAAAATATCTCTGAGAGTCCATACGTGCATTCAGCATCTCTCTGAACTTCATTCCAAACCCAAGTTCCGCAAAAGTGCAATGCGACTAAAATAAACGTTGAAGAGAGACCAAATTTTCTCAGCCTAACAGCCAACCTCCCTTTAAGCAATTTTCATTACCTCTAAGTGGCAGTTTTCCAGCAGCCTGGGACAGTTTGTATCAACACGGCTTATCAGCAGTACTTCACTTGAAAAGGCACAAGTGACACTTGGAATGACAAAAATCCAATGCACCAACACACTTTGCCTTGAGCCTCCCGCCACAAGGATTACGGACATTTCTTCAAAAGCCGTTTGCAATAAGGAGATTAGAGTAGTTGAATTTGCTTGCAAAAATCTATTTGCATTTGAGCTACTGAACCAAATTCAGGAAGGGTACAATCCTCAGGAGCATTCCACTTCTACCATGATGTCCTGAGGGATGAGCTATCAATAGGAAAGTTTTCATTAGAAAAGGGCATTTTAATTAGGAAGGGAGGTATTCCGGTGTAGTTAGCAATAAAAGAATCCATACTGCAGGAGAGAACAGTGAATATCTTATAGAGTTTGTAGGAGACCAGCCAGGACAGTGAGAATCCCATGATGCCTTTTTTTATTCATCTTTTTTATTACATTCCTTTTTCATTATTATTGAATAGCTTTTTTTTAATGTCAACAGAAAAATGGTACAAAGTCTTCCACCTATTTCCTTGAACTTATGCAAGGTGTCTCCATTTCTGCTGATAAGATGGAAATAATAGTTTCAGGGGAACCATATATTTCAACAAAAGGCAGGTAAAGCTGACAACCGTATCAGTGTCCTCCTATAGAACCTCATCAGTAAAGAAATTGGGTCTAGATAGGATGACGCTGATACCTATGTTCAGTGCACGGCAACAGAGTTATTTTATTATAAATCAGAATAATTTAAATCAGGGTAATGCAGGATTTAACAAACCTGAGTGTTCAGGTTCATGGCAACCAAACCATTTAAGCACTTGCTCATTTTTAGGTGTCTATATTACAGTGGGTTAATTCAAGCATGTTTTTTTCATATTTTTTATGTCTCTGGGCCATATAAGTTGGCATTTTGGAACATCAAGCCAAATATTATGTGAGGAATAACCCAATCGATGTCAGGGCCAGAGTGAACATAGAATAATAAAGGAAAAGAGAGGCCCTGAGAGATTCACAAGGGATAGCAGGAGTAGGACTAAACATTACTGGACTTAACACCAGATCAATTGCATCAGATCATTAGGAGGTAAAAATATCACCGCTCAAGCCAGGTGGGGCTGTGCCTACAAAGCTGTACCTTGTTTCTACTGAGGTTTCACATGGGGAAAAATGTAGCAGAAACAAACAGGTAGTGCAGTGGGGAGGGGGTTTGCTTTAGCACGAATTGATTTAAACTGGTCTAAACTTGTCAAGCTCTCACAAAGCCCAGAATCCACTTAGTACTTTTGGCCACTTCTCTATGTACCACCTGGGCAACTTAACAAGGAAGCCTACACAAATTCTCCTGCAGATTTTTGTTACGGGACCCAAAGTCGCCTGGCTTTGAAGTCGGTAACAGAACTGCAACTGTGTTCAAATTTAAAGCATGCTGCAGGCTCTGTTTCTAAGGCAGCTAATCACCTCTTGTCAGCTCACATCGAATTTTCAGGCACTTGAAATCTTTCTTTTCCTGGCAAGAGGAACAGTAAGCAAAGGAACTAGAAAAGACATGTCGGTGAACACACTGTGGAAAGGAGAGATGGCTTGGAGAGAGGCACTCACGTCTGCAGGTCCACCGGTCATCCCTGTAGTATCCCGGGGAACAGGCTGGCGCACACATGCTGGTGTGGGAGAGAACCAGGCTGGTGTTGCAAGAAGAGCAGGAAAAAGGACCCTCGCCGGTGCAGGTTTTACATGAGGGGTGACACCCTGCAGGGACAGCAAGAACAAGCGTTTCTGTTCAAGGAAAAGTAGATCTTCGAGCAAGTTTTGCAAGATTCAGCAGAAGCTCTCGCAAAGACTGAGCATGGTGATATGAAGTACCAAAAGTTCCTACTAAGTCTAAGCCCTTACTGGTGCGCAGTGCTCAGGCGCAGAAACACAACCAACCCACCTTGTGACAGACGGATTCAGGGGCTTTATTTGTGCTCTGTGTGCCATGCACACTGGATCTCTCCCCTCCTCTCCTTTCTCTCTCTTTTTACCCATTCCTCTTCTCTTCAACCTTCCCTTCTCCTTGAGAACAACCCTACAGGATCTGGCCAAGGCCTGCCTATCAGAAAAGAGTACAGAAAGAGCAAGCATGCATCAGTACCTCCCTCTCATGCTTTCTCTCAACTAGTTTCAGGTCAGATCCCGCTGAGCCTGGTGCGCTTTGTCTATTGAGGAACCATCTAGTGCTTTTCTGACAGCTCCACACCTCTCTGAAGATTTACATCCATCCCTTCGGCAGGAGTTGCTCAGCTGCTACCTATTCCAAGAAGCAACACTGACAGACAACAGGCAATCTCTACGCACCCTCTCTCCATTTCACTCGTGACTTCTTAGGCCTCCACCCTATTTCCTCCCTCCTGCCTGTGTTTCAGGTTGAAGCACTGTGCTCTGCTCAGCTGCTCGCTGTACAGAAGCCCCTCCCTTCTGAGATGGGCAGAACTGCTGACGGCACGCAGCTCCTTTAGGCAGCAGCAGAAGGAATTCTTCTCTTCCTCTTTCCTTTCGTACTAGCACCTAACATTTGATTTGCTTTTTCAACGTTGCTGAACGCTGGGATGCCATTTTCACAAGCTGACTGATCGTTACTTCAATATCACGGCAAGGATGCCATCATCCTGTATGTGACATCAGAACCAGGTAACCCTGTGTGCATCCTTACATCTGCCTATAGCAAACTTCCAGCCCTTGCTTTAGTGTCCAGGCACTCAGTCTTACAAGATTCTTCTGCAATTCTTCACAGCCAGCAATCCCACTGACTGCCTCGAGGATGGAAGTACATGACTATCTTTTTCTTTCCCTGCATTTCTGAAGTCCATTTTTATGCCACCCTTTGTTTTCTTTCCCTGTTTCCTTTCCATCCCTTTGTCTTCCACTTGTGCTTCTTAGTGTGATTGAAGAGATTTAAAATACCACTGTGGATGAGGCCAAGTTACCCTATTAATTTCTCCAAAGGGGGTACATACTCACAAAACTATTAGTCTGTTTTATTTCCTGATAGGCCTCTACCTGGAGATGGATGCCATCATTACACCTATCAGGCCACATTCATCATGACTGAAAGTGTGTAAAGAAATCAGAGACAGGACTGCATTACGCTGTGCTGGAGATCTTAAAAGCCAGCACAAAATGTAATAGGAGCTTTGACACAGTCTGAATAATGCAAAACTTCTTTTAAATGAAACCTTTATACCAAAGGGAAGAAATGTTATTCCTACGCTTAAATGTGCAGGAAGGCAAAATATCTCTCCCAGGGGTCTTTCCAATTAAATGACACAGAGTATATTTCATACGTCTCTGAGATTTCATTTGCAAAAACAGGTAAATAAACACACAGCTCCCTGAGTGCTTGAAAGAAGCTTTGAAACATGAACTCTCAGTTGTTGGACTGGATTAGGAAATGCCATTACCTGCAAAGGGAGCATCTACATCCTAATTCTAATGTGCAGCATTTCTTGTCTTGATTTCTTTCTCTTAAAATAAACTGCAATACCCTTTGCTCAGCTTAAGACACATTGGCCACATAACAAGAAAAGCAACCTACTTCCTTCTAAGAGTCCAAGAAATAGAAAGCAGCTCAGACAATGATGGGAATAGGAAACCACATCAGCAACAAAAACTGGAGGAGATCCAGGGATAGATGAAGGCACAGAAGGCTAGAGAATAAAATGTGCTATCAGCACAGCTTCACCCACGCAGCTGGAGTGCTGCATCTATCACGCCAGTGTAAAAGGCTGAATTAAATTGGCTTTTTGTTTTAAAAGCTGCTACAAATGATTGCCTTTTGGACCATTACAGCAGCAAGAGAAGTCTCAATGAGAGACCTTAGCTAGGGTGATGTTCCATCTCAGGTTTGCAAAACGCCCTGAGAAGTTGCTTCCAGCAAGAGTTTTTCCTTCTGTGAGCAGAAGTTGCACGGCCCTTTAAAGCATATATCCAGAAAGTATTTTCAAGTGTCAGCATCCCAGAACTGTGCTGGTACCACACAAATTGGAGACTTGGCAATGGGCACATGAAAAGTCCCTGTTTGAAGTTATCCTTTACGGTGCTTAAGCCCATCTCTTCCTAGGAGTGATCTCAGGATGGCTACCCTATGTAGAACGTAGTGTACTGTCACCCTGTTCTCTGTGCCACCATCTTTTTGAGAGATGGGATTTAGCAGAGAGAAAGATAAAATCTCACCTTCATCTCCTCCTCACAAGCACGCTGCTGTCTGGTACTCGTTATGCTCATTAACTGTACTGTAACAGTGGGCTAGGTCCCAGCACCTCAGCATGTGCTCAGGACAGTACAGCACTGTCAGCCTCAAAGGACTCACAGTCTGACAGCAGACACAGGTTATGGGGAAGCAAGGAGAGAGTGGTCCCAGCCAGCTGGCAGAGTTGTTAGCCAGGACATCCCCAGCTCCCAATGCAGTGTCCTGCCAGCTGGACAAAGCTTCTCTGCTAAATAGGAACCATTTCTTGGAACATCTCGCAAGGATCCAGGCGGTCCCCTGCAGCTACCTGAGGGATGTGTAGGGACTACTCACTTTTGCAGGCACCATTCTCCGCGTAGTATCCCATGGGACAGTCAGGAATGCAGTGATCCCCCAGGAGCAAGTGACGGGCGTTCTGGCACTTCAGACAGATGCTGCCGGTGTCCTGCAGGTTGGCCACGCACTGACGGCACAAAGGGTGGCAGTCTAAAGGAAGCAGGGAATAACGGATACTGTGATCACAGATGGACAAAACAGAACCGCCAAGGGGAAACACACTGCTGAGAAGTCAAGGAAGACATTAGGGATGTGACTTTCAGAGCCCCTTTCTGCTATCTGGTGCGCAAGGGCTGCGATCGGGTGCTAAACACTGCACTTCTAGATGTCTGCAAGAGAGATGACCAGAAGTTATTGCATTCAAGGAGCATTCCTTTCCTCTTGCCCTCATCCCCATCTTGTGCTCTTCCTGAGCATCACGTTTTCACTTTTCCTCAGCAACCACATTCTCCGCATCTCTCCTGCCCTGTTCAAGCATCCTCTTTCCCATCCTTAAGTGATCTTGGGAAAGCTTTGTACAAAGCCAGTTCAAAGCTCTTCACTTCCCCCAAACCTTTCTCTGATTTTAGATGCTTCTACCCACAGGCTGATCTTTAACAAACTACGCTGGCAGCTGTAGGCATTCATCTCCCTCTGTGCCCACCGTCGAAAACCCAAGAGCACAACCTATACAGCTGTATGACCCTCTCCCACAGTTCTTACTGTTCAGGTTTTCCCACATGAACGAGATATCCATACCCTGAGGAGGCCACTGCAGACCTCAAAGCCAAGCCAAGAGCGGCATTTAGAGCTGCACAAGAGTGCCTCAAAACCTTTTATTTTTTTTTCATTTTTCTTCAGCAGCGCAGAAGCTTGTGTCTCCTGACCTCTGCCTGAACTTAGGTGCTTCAAAAGCTTTTACAACAAGCCTTTTGTATGCACAACAGTGCAGTGTAAGGCAACCTGGAAGCCAAATTAGTCCTCATTATGGTAATTCAGAAAATTATAAAGGAAATGACAACTGTCTTGAAAGAAATGTCATAATGAGGCTTCATTTCAGTACCTGGCCTCTTGTCAGATTTCTCCTAAAGGTTCAGCTTTCTGTCTTTTGTCCCTCATGACAGCATTACTACAGATTGTCAGGCAATCTAATTTTACAAGCTGAAGACAGGCTCACATAGAAGTCTGGGGGAATTCTGCATCCATACCTGCAAGAATGTAATTGAACCTACAAGCGACTGGAGTCTAACCCTAGCCTGACGTCTCCTATACGATACACGTAGATGATTCTTACCAAACACGGGTGGAAAATTGCAGATGCAGCTCAGAAATGAATGCAATTCTGACTGCACCCAGGGATTCAAGGTCCTTAAAGCAGCTGCCTCTTTCACCTCTTGACTTTACGGGGTATACAAGCTATCTAGTTTCCGCCCCATACTCCCAGCCTTGCAGATGGGAAATTAACAGCCAGAGGGCAGGTAAAGGTGAGCAAGAAGGAACATTATGCTTAAGATAGTGACCCTGTAGGTTCTCAATCCATCGCTGTCAGGACAGTGGTAAGAAAAGCAAAGCAGCACACGAGGTGATGCTTCCAAACTCAGTGACAAACCTCAAAACCTCCTTAGAGGGGGTTACAGCTTACAGAGGTTATCGCACTGCAGCTTCTGACTGCACAGGAGAAGAACTTGATACCCGAGGCATCATCTCATAAATCTTTACAGCTAAAGATCCCAAACCTGTGCTGACATCAGAGCGGAAAAACCTTCCATCTATCTGCAGCCTCCCTGAAGCCAGAAGGGATCACACACAGCTCACCACAGGGAGCAAGGACTAAGGGATCATCCAAAAGGCACCGAGCACCCTATGTAATTTGTATGCACAGGGCTGGAGGTGGGGTGAAGAGTTTTATGCACTCATATTCGATAAACTTAACACAAATCCAATCAGTTTCTCACGCTTCCACATTTACCTGGCAATATGCCTACTCCCCATATTGTTAAAATAAATACTCCTCCAGTTTAATCTCTTGCTGGAGCCACTGGTCTCGAATAGACAGTTTGGCTAGATGTAATAAGTAACCAAACCCTGCAATAGTTTTGCAGTGACCAAGAAGAAGAGAGACACCTGTGTACAGTCAACAGGGTCCATAAGAGCATAAAAATGAGACAGAGAAAACTAAGGCTGCCCAAGTAACCGGTATCTACTGTAAATAACTAGACTTTGCCAAACTAACATTTAAAAAGCTAAGTATCTACAAAACTAGGTGCTGTTGCAGTACCGTTTTCTCTTTACAGCCTCTGTGTTTGCTCCTATGTATTGAAAGAGCTCTTTTTCTCAGCTACTGTTTTAGGATAAATCAGCCCCATTGCTCTCTGGTTCCTTTGCAAGCCTGGAGATCAAAGAGCACACAACACCAAATAAAAAACCAGAACTGAGGCTCATGGTGAATCTGAGGGACATTGGGGATCTAGTTAGAGAGTAAAGGAAGAACTGAAGTGCTTTGTTTTGGAAAAGATTATTTAAATTTTTCACAGCAGGCTCCCTTTGAAGCGAGGACTAACAGAAGCGGAGCGCTTTCTTCATGCTTCTCAGTAACTCTGCTCAGCCGTATTTGTTTCCTGCTTCTGCCTTCTCCCCATCAATCCTCGCTCCAGTTCCACCAGCAGGCAAGTTACTGCCCGTGGGCTTTGGGCTTCTGGAGGCTTCCCATCCCATGTTTGCTGCAGGTCAGCGCAATACAGTTACTTAATTCCCTTAGATTTCTGCCAGTATCCAAAGCGGATTCTTCAGGGCAGCATGTTACCACCTTGCTCAGAGTCCCAATGTCTCTCATCTTTTTGAGATTACTGACTTGCCTCCCGCTGTCCAGACTAAACTTTTTCCTGCTACCCTTTCAGCTGGCTCTAATTTCCTCCTTGTCAATTCACCTCCATGCAAAAAAACCCCACAACCCCACCTTGCCTATCACTGATCTTCCTATAAAGCAACTTTCATTGTCAAGTATAATTACTTACACAGATTTCCATTTCCCGAGTTACTTGACTTCCACACCCTCTTTAGCTTTCTCTTAGCAAGCAAAGAAAACAAAGAAAATAGTGCCCTTCCTATATGAAAAGGATCTATTATATACTGTTCCCTTGCCTGTCAAGACAGAGAAAGCTGTTTGGGGAGACAAAATTATCTCTGAAGTGTTTGTGAATGCTCATAAAGGAAACCAGCGGCATTTCTACCTCTGAGTTCCACCATTTGCCAAGCAATCAACCACTCGCATTGTTTAAATACGCCTCCCCTCTTAAGGGCTCTTTAGAAAAAAATTTCCTGGGGCATGTTTTGTACTACACTCTAAGGTAAGGTATGTGATTTACAACAGAGTATGACTTGAAATCCGTACTTAAAACACCATGCAATTTACAGGCATGTCAGCATGCAAATGTTCTCTAGCACATTACAGTAAATCCAGAAAGAAAACCAGTATGGGTGATCCGGAAGGGCACCTAGCACTGCCCAGGATTTTTGGGTTGATTTGGTTTTCAGAAGGGTTTTTTTTTCCCCTCTCCTTTAAAAGACTTAAAAGGGAATTTGTCACACAAACGAGCGAGGTGAAGCCCTGGTGAAGCGCAACCACGTTTGCAGGGATCTGCCTGCATCTTCTGAAAAGGGTGGGAACTGCTCTAGGCAGCGTAAGGTGGGAAATCCAGCTGGATGGTGCCTGGCACAGATGAGCCCAGACCAAAGCAGGGAAATGATCTTCCATTTTCCTCCTCTGGCAGCCCAGCTGCTAATTTCTGTAGGAGGTTGCATGCCAGTGACTAAGTGGAGCAAAGCCCCCAGTTTCCCTCTTGCTCTGCTCAGAGAAACCCCAGCTCTCTGGGATGATATCAATGTCTCTCTAAGAGTACGGCAACAGCTCATTAATTTTACAAGGAGCTGAATGTGTTTCTTGTTGTCAGAGCGTCCCTTCTGGAATTTTAAGAGCAAGGCTTGTTACAGGCATCCTCCTGAGCGAGCTCTTCTGGTTTATCTTTGAACATTTTCGCAGCCGCACGCAGCCTAAGAAAGCAAGGGCCTGAGCAGCTGAACTTGGGATTGGGAGTTCCCTTTCAAAGGAAGATGAAGTTGGAAGTTAAGAGAGGACCTTGGGGGATCCTGTGTCAGTGGGTGTTCTGATTTTCATGTCACGCCAGCTGCCCTTGCTACTAATTCTGGTAGGTAGTCCTTTGCATCCTTTTACACCTCAGTCTCCAGTAGAGCTCAGTCTGTGAACTCCTTTCTTCGGCCACTGCACAGTCCCTCTGCATTTTTCTAATTGCCCTTCCACCACGTCAGGAACAGATCGATGCGGCAGCCTCAAGACAGGCATATGATTTATTCAAATCAGAAAAGTAAGAGCAGGACAACAGTTTTAGCAACGGTGCTATTTTTCAGATTGGTGACTGCAACGTTTCCTGAAGCTGAAGTCGTCTTGGTAAGAGGGAGAGAGAAATCAGAGAGTGTTTTCAAACTGGGAAAACAAAAACCACAGAAGACCTGAGACTCAACAGGAGACTGCTAAAGCCAGAACCACATTCCTGTCCATATACTTTAGCTAGGAAATAAAACTCATAAATTGAGCATTCTCGAGGAAGACTGACACAAATTTAGTGTGCCCAAGCCAAAGCTTAGAAACCCATTAATCTTTTGAAATTTGAGGTCGTTTTGTCTTTCTTCTCCTTACATTTGAAATGCTTATTTGATAAACTGCTGAAAACAACACCTTTTTTTTTCCATTAACATGGCAAATGTTCCAATCCTCATTCAGGTAACATGTACAATAACAACATTAACTCACAGGCAATAGGTTCAAGTGACAGTTGGTTTTCTGCATCCTGTATGAAAGATTTTCCCCCACGGGTCCATAAAATATGACAGGTTGCTGTAACGCACAGCAGTCCCTGTAAGTCGTAACACAGTTCTGCCTGGAGGGTCAGGAATTAGAGATAAATGGGAAGATAATTGTAAAAAAATACTGCTTCGGGAAGCAGAGGAAAAAGCTTCGTTAGATTCTGATGCAAATCGTGTATTACACAAGTGTCAGGGGTTTTAATGGTCTCTTTTATGGGACAGCTGCTCTTTACCTGGTAATTAATAACTTGCAAGGGCGAATTTCACACTTCAATCCGTGCTGAATGAGAAGAATGAATGAAATTTAACAACCTGGATGTGGAGCTCTTTAGCAGAACTGGCAACACATATCCTTTGCTTAAACACCAGACATGCCACTGCTGCACAAAGAGCAACACACTCCAGACTGCAGATCCGAGACCTAAGCGCAACTTCTTTTTTGTTTTTTAAAGGCAACAAATAACTATGTTCCTCTGCAAGGGCTTTCAAAACTTCAGTTAGACAAAGAAACATCAGTGCATCTATTACACAAGACCACGTGAACATGAAGGGTTCCTATGCTGCAAGGAATATCTGTGCTGGCCTCTCGAAGGCAGGACTGGTGCAAGTGAGTCAAGAAAGGTGTCTCCTTATGCTTTTACTAAGTTGCACCTGGAAAGCCTTCTCTCCTGTTTTGGGGGCACAGATCCAAGCATTATTGGCACTCAGTGATGCCAGGCACTGTGAACCAAGCCTTGAAAACATGTTTCTACTTTGAGAAGACAAATCTCCAAACAGTGGCCCATGTTCATGACCTACAGGGATTCAAAATAAAGCTTGTTAGTTTGCAAGGAAAGGATGCGTCGCCAGACTGCAATTGCTTTGAAGTCCAGAAAGCTGGGCAAGGTTCTCTGCAGACGATTTATCACTGTCAGCGTAGCGCATCTGGAGGTCAAACCTTGCCCTCCACATTTCCTGAGTGAGCTCGTTGTTTCCAATTTCTGCTCCTCATCATTGCCAGGCACTGTGACGTCTACCTAATCACCCGGGATTTGGGGAGCATGCTTACTGCTCCAGGACACCTCGCCAAACTTACAGGTGACAGCAGTCTAAAAGGGATAATTAAAGCACATAGCAACCCTCCTCAGAAAGAATCCTGGTTTATGATAAATGGTACTAAGTTTTTCCAATGAAATTTACAGCTGGAAGACCACATTTCCACGGGCCTTTTTTCATGGGAAGCAGAATGCAAATTAATGGGAAAATAAGGTGGAGGAAATAAAGTGCATACAGCTATGAAGTGACAGGACATTAATAAGTATCGTTGTAGCCCCTGAAATTTTACAGGGCAGACACAGCTCTTTACGCGGAAATGCTGAATTATTGCCATATTGTAATTCCCTGACTGTATGAAACATCTTCATTCCCCAACCTGATTTCTTGTATACCTAACGAGCTGCACAACACTTTTAGGATATTTTCCTACTCCTCAGCCACTTTGTTTCCTCCCTCTCTGGCTCTGCAGATAAAACAATAACTGTTGTTTAAAAGGAAGATGAAGAAATGGTTCATAAAATTAATCTGTGGAGAGCAAAGGAACAGTCTTTCATTAAAAAAAAAATCATATATGTAAACAAAAAGAAGTCTCTCTGAACGGGAATCATCTATATTAAATTGAGAACAATAGCCTCTCAATGGATATACTTATTATGTCTAATGAATTTTTCCTTTTTCTTAGGATTCCTTATCTCATTTGGAACTGTTGAGCCTAGATTAAGCCTCACACACCGTATCTTTTTTTAATAAAGAAAAAACGGGCTTGATAAAGCTCAGAAATCGTTGGAGCAGTTCCCAGGATACGTTTATACATGTCTGCGTGATGGATTAAAAGCGATTTTTCTTTTTAAATAGATAAATGCAATCAGTGGCTTCTGATGATAGGCTTAAGCGCAGGCACTGAGCACCCACAAAGCATAACCTCTATATAGAAATCCTATTACCTCCCAAAAATGCACACAGCAAATGCTAACTGTGCCAATTTTTCTTTAGGGCCCCATAAACTGCTTCTCTGAATCACAAATGTTTCCTTAAGTCACTCTACTGAAGCTACGTGCAGGACTGAAGCAGCTTTCCTGGCTCTGGGTCCCCCAGCCTTGGCTCTGCAGTGACAGGCAGTATGCTGTAAAGCCCAGACCGGAGCGAGACACAGACAAGGGCTCAGCCTGGCAAAGGCAAGCACATCGCCACTCAACAGAGCAGAGCTGCAGCCCGTCCTATTGTTAAGAGCATGCTCATTATGGTATTAATAAGCATATGAATGCTCTGATGATTCCCAGGCATACTGGTCCACACGCGTGGCCTCAAGTCTTCACACCAAGCCGTGCAGCAGCAAGCCTGGCAAAAGAGCACCTCATCTCCCTCTCCCTACTACCTGCCTTGTGCAAGAAGGTATGTATAGCAGGAGTGGCAAGCGGCTTTGCTAGATACTATGCATACTGGAGAGCTTCCTCGTGGTATTTTCATCTGTGTGACATTTTACTCATAACAGGCGTTTTCATTTCTTCTTGGCGTGTGCTCAAGTAGCTGGTTAATGCCACAGAAAGATCATCATCCCACTGTATGACCCACGCCGCGTCTCCTCTTACTTACCCACGCAATATCCCACCAGGTTGAGATACTGCTCTTCCTTGCAGCTAGTCCTGCACTTCCCACTAGCTAGAGTCGCATGGGGATGGCAGGTTAAGCACTCCAAATCAGAAGGGCCACGGCACGTCTTGCAGGATGGATGACAGGCTGGAATAAGAAAATCAACACTTGTTGTTACGCTCTTGGTATAGTCCACCTTACGCTCTCCCCTCCCCAGAAAGCCAGCCCCCGTAATAATCATTTACTCCTACAAAACATGGACGTAAAATGAGCTAATAGCACCAGCGACTGCGGAGTTGTGGTTTGGAAGGCTCTTACATCCTCATTTTGAATAAACAAGATGAGAAATGAATTGTCAATTTAAAGATGTGATTTGTTCTCTGCATTAATCAAGGTATCGATCTATGCAAAATATAAAGAGATTGGCCCTTTTATTCCTCCCACCAGCATATGCTTGTGCACATAAGAGAGTGGGATGCACAGGGGAGATAAATTAAACGTCTTGGGATTCTATGAACATCACAGTGGCATGAGTTGGATATTCACGAGTGGGAAATCCAGGAATGATTTCTGCACAAAGCCCTCCCAAACCAGAACTTATAAAACCATCAGCTATTCTGTCTGCTAAAAGCTCAACAAAAAGATTGCAGAGAAAGTGGTTAAGATCGCTCAAAAATATTTCACTCGGACTGCTGTTGTATCCTTCTACCTTTAAAGAGAGACACCAGATTTCCATGATTTCCATGCTACAGATCTGAGGGAGACAGAAATACTACAGCTAATGAGCTGTAAAAAATTCTGAAAACCTACTTTTAAAGCTCTTCTATGAATAAAAGCACACAACTTCAAGAATCTCCTGCCTTGAGACTCCCCCAGGCTGCATGCAATTGCTCACTCTCCATGTGGAAGCTGGGTGTTTCGCAGCTGCCACTGCATAAGGCTCCAGTGTTTAAGACCTCACCCATCATGTCCCAGCACCTTCTCAGCTTCTCAGAAATCATGCCCATGAATCCAGTGTTCCAAAGGAAGAATCAATTTTCTGGACACACCTGTATTAACTGAGCTTCGGTGTTCAAAACCTGCAGGAGATCTAAGCTGGCAGCATACAGAAAGATGCCACTTCTCTGACACTGAAATTCTGTTTCTAAGACATTTGCATAAACCTGAAACTGCATAATGCAGCAGGCAGCAGTTAGCTCAGCTCTAAGGCGGCAGTGCACAGCTTCAAAATTGATGAATCTTTACGATAGCTTGCCCAATAAATACATTTATACAGTTGTTCCTTGGATGAATAAATTGAATAAATAGAGCAATGGGCTTTAGAAGAGGTTTCTCTCTCTAAACTTGAGGCCTCCCAGGGAAGCGATCAGTAAATTTTTCTTACTGCCAGAACAGACACATGGATGCCTTGACCCAGTGAATCTATTATAAAACATCAGACAACTCTCAGATGACCTTGAAGGGACTAAACAGATTTCAAAAGCCTCACCCATTGTACTTAGCAGCTCATAATGAATGGCATATCCCAAAGGCCACCATTTTCTGGAAGTGGCAAACAGGATTTAACTGTTGCAGTCACTCAGAAGGTCAGTAGTCACGGTCATCTGCTCAGATGAGATCAAACAAGCTGAATGAAGGCCACTTGCTGACTGGTGGGCCAGGGCTGAGATGCAAATAAATAATGCTGTCGCCGCTACCGATCAGGCATATTCGGAGATGCAATGGCTTTTCTCCTGTTTCTGCAGAATTCCTGCCTCCTAAACCCAGCCCTATAGCCAGCAGCAGATTAAAAATAAAGCTAATTCATACGGACAATATGCTTATCTAGCCTGATAAAAACAGCCCATGCTTCAGTGTTGTCCAGTAAAGACCTCTTCTGCCACAGCGTGCTGGCTAAGAACATCATCGAAGCCCACTGAAATGAAACGCAAAATATCTTCAGGGAGACAGCCCAGAGGAACAAAACGGTTTATAATTTATGATTCAATGTGTACGCCTCTCTCCCATTAGGAGGAGATTCCATTTTGTGAAATTGGACTATCCTGTTCTCCCCTGAAAATACTTAGATAGCCTCACATAAATCTGACAGCATCTCTAATTACATTGAGAAATGGATTACAAAGCGTGCATGCCATGAAATTCAGTGGCATAAGGTGCAGGTGCGGGCACTATGCACTCACAGTAGCAGCGATCTTCGTGGCTGAACAGCCCCTCCGGGCACTCGGAGAGGCAGCTGCCTTCAAGCAGGACGTGGGAAGACAGACAAGCCGTGCAGTCCTGAGAAGTGTTCCCCACGCAGCCTGCGCAGGAGGATTGGCACTCTGCAGGGAAGGGAAAAACCAGGAGACAGAGAGAGCCAAATTAGTTCTAGCTTATCTTGGTTGTTACTGTCCTAGAGTACAGCTAGATTGCTTTCTTCCCAGTGATGACAGGAAGGTATTTCCTCTACAGGATTCTCTGCCTCTGAAAGGTAGAAAGGGCAGGAGTACCAAGGCTGTACAGCACACTTCTTGAAGGAGCAACCACAGATAGCTGCACATTTAATCTTTCTTTGCACCCACACAATTCGTTACTGAAACAGAAAGTGGAGATGCACAAAGCCGCGTAATACCGTTCTCCTCCCCGTAAGAGGGGTTCTGCAAACTTACCAGGTTCTGAAATCATCTTTTGCTCTCACCCTACAGTTACTCTGGGAAGGATTTTCTATCCAGCATCACTGCATGGTTAACATCAGCCAGTCTGGAGCAGTAAGAGCCAATGTACATAGAGGTGGGCAGGCCACCCGGCTTTACAGCTACGAAGTGAACGCTCATTGCAAGGGTGATTCATCAAGAATGAAAAGAGTGCAGTTAAAAAGTTAGACTTCTTCACCTTTACCGGTACTCACCCTAAAACAAGCCATCTTAAGCTAAGTAATCTGATTAAATAAATATATAAATTCCTTAGTTAAAAGCCTAGTACTTATTAGAGCAGTGACTCGAGGCCACAGGTTCCACCGTGTGATTCTCTGTTGAACACAAAAGAGAGACTTCCTGCCCTCTGGGGAGGCAAGACAGACACAGGGCTGGAGAGAAGAAATGAAATAATGAAATGAAATGATTCATACAAGCAAACTTAGCGCTCTGCCAGGGAGAGAAGTCACTGATCCTCATCACAAATGCAATGTCTCCAGGACTATCTTTGGCTGATGTGACTCAAATCCTATCAGAGAGAAATCTCTTAGTTTCATCAGGGAAATCTCAAGCACAAGAAAAATATAGATAGAGGTATTTCTGTGGACTGATGAGAAATCCACAACCACACAGGTAAAACCTTCAAAGCCAGCATTTCAACCTACATATGAACGTGCTTCTGTTCCGCACAGATCACGTAGGCATGGTACACACCTGCTGTAGGTTTACTCTTTCAGAATGGTGCATCTACAAACTCTGCATCAGCGTTTTATGGGGGTAGCTCAAAGTTTGAAATCTTGAATCTTCACACCCTTCTCCAATAAATCAAACTACTATTCTAATGCCATTACTAATACGGCAGAGCTAATAACAAGAAAGGCTGTGCTGGCATTCTTGCCCAACGATATAATCCAGCACTGTCGCTGAACTCTGCTCAGGCCTGTTTGTACAGGTCTGTTCACCCATTTGAGGCAGTGGTATATGGATTTCTTCACTCCGTTTCTATACCATTCTGACTTGTACTCAGCCAAGAAAACCCATTACTTGCCAAGGAACGTCCACTGCATGGATCGGAGGCTCTACCCCAATGCCTTCAGGAACCAATCCAAAGCACTGGACACTTTATGGTCTGTGTAGGTCACTGTTAAAGCCAGAATCATTCCACCCTCCAAAAATGCCACTTCTTCCTTTTTTAAGATCCTCCAAGGCAAAAAACCATAAGCTTGTACAGACTCTTTCCGTCAAGTTGAGGTGAAGAGATAAAATCAAAGTAAATGGATTTTAAACTGTGTCCACTTTCAGAAAATGTTTTTTCAACAGGAAGAAAGAGCCACGTGTAGCATTGTTGCTCTTATTATTGCTATTACTTTCCTTAATTGCTGTAGAGTCACTGTCTCTATCACTGGTCTTTCCACACAGGGAAATCACTGCCATTTCTGAAAGTATTATTTCTCCTTAGGCTCAGGGTGGGCTGTGTTGGCACAAGACGTTCAGTCTGACCTCTCAGCCTGCTTCTGTCTGCATTATTTTTGAGATATTGCAATACGTTTGTTGTACAGACACCCACACCAGCTGCCACAGGCTCTCTACAGCTGGCTGACAGACTGGCTTGCTGATCGACCCAGTAAACATTTCTCAATGAAGTCCACAACAGTTTTCTCTCAAAGCAATGGGAAACCACATATATCCCCAACGTACACCACATTAGCCCCTTTTCCAAACTCTCGTCTTCATGGAAACGCTTCCTACTTGGCATTTCAGGAGCAGCGATGGCACGTGTGCTACAGGGCATGTATCAGAAGAAAATCTCAAAAGACTGCTGGGGGATGTCTTGACCTGCTCCAAGGGCGAGTAAGGTGACAGCTCAGTCTTTTCTGAAAAGGATTTAAGGATTGATCCTGCTTCAAAATAAGTCAGTGGTAAAAATCACATTCTCAACTTCAATGAAGAGAAAGCTAAGCTGTGCAGACTTGAACACAGTTGTTTTAAAAAAAGTACCTGAATTCTTTAGTCACAAGTTACAGGTAGAGTATATTTGCCTTCAAAAGCACTAGTATATGCCATTCTGAAAGTTACTGGGTTTAAACATTCATGACTGTCACAGGGCAAACACAGGAGCTCGAAGCACATACGAATCGAACATTGTACAAGATCATCCTGAACACCTAAAATCCAGCGCGGCCCTGTGCTGAAGGCTTTGAACAGCGGTTCCCATCCTCTACTCACGTTTGCAGACTCCTGCGCTATCTGTGTAGAACCGGGCTTGGCAGTGAGAGAGGCAAAGGCCATGTACAGGTCCTTCCATGGGCTGCTGAGGCTGCAGCACGTCCCCTGGCGCCCTGCACTGCAGGCAGCGAGAGGCCCCCGGGCCGATGCAGGTGCGGCAGGACGGGTGGCAACCTGTGCATGGGTAAAGAGAACAGTCAGAGCCACAGCTCCGAGGACAGCTTTCTCAGAGAGAAGGACGAGGCCCAACAACCTGGGCGCAAACGTGGGAGAGAAAGGGGAGAAAACCCTGGTTTGGACCCTCTTGTTCATCCCTCTTTCCAGTTCTGTATTGCTGTGGACAGTCGGACACTCAAAGAGCTAGCAAAGAGCATACAGTTTGTAGCAACTCACAAGTTAAGAAATCTGTTCCAAAACCAGACAGGGTGCTGTATCTTCTATAATGGAACAGGGGTTTTAGAAAAATACTTTGACATCTTTTCCCCCCACCCAAATAACAGCTCTTTTCTCGAATAAAGTTGATGAACAAATAGCGCTGGGAAAAAAATGCAGTACTGTGCCACAGGCAGTCAATTTTCCTTTAATTTCTGGAACCTCAAGAGTGAACACAAGGAGAGACAGCAAGAAATATCAGTCTGAAGGGCTCATAGGAAGTGCAAATTCATCTTCCAAATTTTCAGGTTTTCCACTGCTGCAAAAATGACCTCAGTCTTAGCAAATCTACTAGGTGTGTGTAGACTTTCGTCCACCTCTTAACTCACATCAGGAAAAACTTGGAAGCAACGCACCTTTATTTCAACAGCATAGAGAAAACCAAAGGTCCCCGAGATCACTGAATCCGGAGGGTGTGAACACAGAAAGTATTTGAGAAAATTGGCTTCTTCTCAAAGTAGAAAACAATCAGCAGGCAAGCACAGGAATTACTCATTGACCAGTTCAGCATAGAACAAAGGATCAGCATCGTAGCTGGGTACTCCAAGCACAGCCCAACAAAAGCCAATAGATACACTGGTTTACAGTGTACTTAGAGTTTACTGGGAACTTACTCCAAGTGCATAGCTTACCCTTGCAGACGTTGTGATCCCAGTAAAAACCCTCGCCACAGCCCTGCAGGCACTGGCCCCGGTGCAACGCCAGAGGAAAGGAACAGGAGGTGCAGTGAGTGGCCAGAGGTCCCTCACATGTGGAGCATGAATCGTGACAAGCTGATAAAGAAGCAGAGCACACAGAACTGAAATACCCTCTTTTTTTTTTTTTCCCTCACTAGTGGTGTTGCTGACTACAGCCTCCTCCAGCCAACAATGAAAACTCCCAGCTGGCATGATATTCAGCTACGCGAACTAACGAGAGCAGAAGTGCATGTGTATTAATAACTACTAACAGTAATAACTCTCACTCACATGGTGTTCTGAGTATGCATCTCAGCATGTCTTAATATGCTTCGCAAGGCAAAGAGGTTATTTAAAACAAGCTATCGCAAGTGAACCAAAGAAAACAAAAACATTCCCTGTCCCCACTCGCGCTTCTATGCTCTTAACATTCCCTCCCCGCAGGTAAACATCTGGGGAAAAGACGACAACATGTGGAGGGTTCCTCGAGAGCCTTAGAAAAGGTCATGCAAATATGCCTCTTACCTCTGCATCTTCCATTGCCACTTGGGAAATATCCGTCTGGGCACTCTGAAATGCACTTCCCATCATGTAACAACCTATCTGAAGCACAGGTCAGACACCTGGGCTGGTCTGAATAGCATGTTTCACAGAACTGGTCACAAGCTGCCAAAGAGGACAGCTCATTAATGAAGTGCCCTCAATAAGCAGAGAACAACAGAGCCATCAACCTGGCCACATAGATCAAAGGAAGTAAGCCAAACGACGCCTTGCCCTTTCTTTGTCAGAAAGGCATCTTTGAACATTCCTCTCCAGCACAAGTAACCTTTTGCACTTCCCTGGAATAAGCAGTGACATTCACGGAGGTCGACGTGTGAGTGCAGACAGGTATTCACCGACCTGTATCCCATCTAGGACTCTGAGTAAGTATAAATAGCAGAAATGGGACTACACCAGCACTCCCTCCCCTCCTGACACAACCCCCTCCAGCTCACGTAGCATGTTTTTCCTGTTCACCAACAGTCTGTGAATAGGGAGCACCATTCTGACCAATTTCCTGTATGAAATCCATAAATCTTTACTTATCTTTTTACAACAAGCGTCAGTTATCACTGTTCAGGAAGTAAAAGATGGGGGAAAAGTTGATCGACAGAACTGTAATCTCCCTGCCTCCCCCTTTTCTTCAAGTCCAAGTTTTAAGTGTGAAAATGCATCTAAAATCAAGCATGATAATGTTTCTTATCAATTCCTGTGGACTGTATTCTCCCAGGCAGTCAGTTCTGAAGTTAACTGACCTGTTGTCCAAGAGCACTATGGAACTTCTGCCTTCCCTAAGTCAGTAGCACTACTGCTGCTGTATATGCAGAAGTGCCAAGCATTTTACTTAACCAATTTTTGTTTCTTTTCACCAGTCAGACAGCCTCCCTTTAAAACAGCTTACAGCTCTCCGGCTGGGTATCAAAATGCATGTTTTGGGTAGAAGATGAAAGGCCTGAATCCTGGAGGTTGTGAGGAACAGCTACGCAGTTTTGAGAAATCACTGGCAATAAAAATAAAAATTATGGCCAAGCTGCATCTACGTTCAATTTCCTTTTGAGCTTAAATGATTTTCAGCTACAGATGTAAGATTTCAAGCCTGCACACTTCAGAACACAGGCGAGTAACATTTACTAGTATAGACATCAACCAAACGGAAGGGGAACCTGATAAAAGTGAAATTCATGCAGAAGTGGCCAGAATAGCACCAATTCTGTCAGCACGCTCCAGGTGTTAAGGCCTCCTTAGCTAGCTGTGGCTCAGACCGACCTGCACGAAGACAGACAACCCCTACATCACTTCTACCGACTATGCTGGACAGTCCTTCAAAGCAGCTGGAGGTGGCTGCCAGCAGAAACCCAGCCTTGACCTGAATGGTTGTGGCAAATTTTAGATTCTTTATTTATTTGAGATTTTTTTTCCCCTCCATGATCTGTTTGACTTAGGTCTTCTAATTCCCTCCAGCCATCTCTTCCTCTTTTCTCAGCTCTCAAGTCTCATCTGTTGTGCAGGTATTAGTTACTGTGATGCTGAATTATAATTAAATTTACAGAAACCCACTGGCAAAGGCCATTTTTCTTTCCACAGACAAATGGATTTGTCAGGCCCTCAGAAACAACTCAGTTAGGCTTTCAAGCTGTTCAGTGAGGGAAAAAGCCTTAAACCTTTCAGCATGTGATTAGCTTAAATGAATTAATAATCTTATGAACAAACAGCAGCTTTTCTCATCCGATATGTATGCACAAGGTGCATCTGGCTTCTTAGACATAAATAAAATCACAGCTGCTGCATGGCTAAATGAAATATTGATTCCTTTTTTTGCAGAGCATTTCTCAAACGCCTTGCAACTGGAGAAGAAAACAGGTATTTACCACTGCAGATTCCATCCTTTGTATAAAATCCCTGTCCACAGCTGGCCACGCAGAGCCCCGCTTTCAGCACGCGTGATGCGTCTTTGCAGGACAAACAATTGTTCTCAGCAGCACCCCAGCACGCGGAACAGGACTCGTGACAAGCTGCAGGAAAGAGAGGTGCAGGATTAACAAACAGTCAACTTCTAATCATCTCTTTAAAATGGATAGTTTGCAGTAATCCACTTTTTTTGCAGCTTCATTCCTTAAACTCACTGACATTCGCTGCTTCAGAAAAGGAAACAAAACCCCACTACTCTTCTTATGCCAGTATCTTTCATCCAAGCCATCGCAGTGGTACAGTTTACAGCTTCATTTTGTACGTGCAATATGACATGCAGTATACATCAGAGCAGTTTCTGTAGCTGCAATCAGACTAGGAGGGGTGCTGTTAAGTCTTGTTCATCCTGGTGCCAGGGGCTGTACAAACACCAAGGGAAATGTGAAGGGATCCCATCAGACTTTACTTAAAAACCAGACCTGCAGTCAGATCCTTGCAGTGACGACTGACACTAACCCAGCTCCACGTACAAGCACAGAATCACAGAATCCCAGAACGGCAAGGGTTGGAAGGGACCTCGGGAGACCACCCAGTCCAACCCCCTTGCTAAAGCAGGTTCTCCTAGAGCATGTTACACAGGACATCGTCCAGGCGGGCTTTGAAGGAGACTCCACAGCCCCCCTGGGCAGCCTGTGCCAGGGCTCGGTCACCCTCAAAGTAAAGAAGTTCTTCCTCATATTCAACTGAAACCTCTTATGTTTCAGTTTGTGCCCATTGCCCCTTGTCCTGTCGCTGGACACCACTGCGAAGACTGCAGGGCTGCAATCAAGATCCTGCAAAATCGAAACCAAGACAGCCTACTTCCAGAAACAACTCCTTCTGCCCTTCCAGGGCTCTGCACTGATGCAGAAGGAACTGACTTCTGGCTGTTGGCCGATCTGGTCAGGTAGGACAGAAATCCTCACGCGCTCAAGACGGTGTAATTCCTGGGGAAAGGTGGGCACTGGGTCCCAGGTCCAGTATGCTGGGCATGGCGTATCTTTTCCTCGACATTACCAGCAGAAGAGAAGGGGCATTCCCTCACTGAGTTGAGATACCAGCTTCTTTTCTCTCTGGATGAGCCATGTATCATGGTTGGGACACAGTAATGCCTCAGCTCTTCCTGAAGCATATCACGTTCCTGCAATGCAGGCAGTATAAATGCCCTCTCTGTGGCACCTGGGTACGGGAACACCTAGGCAGAACAGAGCGATCCTCGAGCATGACGACAGCTTACAATTAAACTAATAACTGTATGGAGATCAGTTCTGTCTCCCAAACCAGCTGCTGAACGAGCCACCTTATTTGAAACCGCACAAGTTCAGCTGTGGGGGAAATTTCAGCCCCCTGTGGTTACTGTTTATGAAATCTGTGATGCAGACTCATGGTAAATCCTGTGCTACCAGTGCTTGCAGGAACTGTGCAAATTACGGTTCTTTTAGCTATTAGGTTTTCTTCTCAATTACACCCAGGTTTGTTCTAAAGATGGTCTTAAATTCATTATTTCACAATAAGGCAGGTACATGCTTGTGCACCCAGACCACGGCAGGTGGGAGAAAACAGAACTTTTTGATATTTGCCCTGTATCCACACGTCTGAAGTTGCACCCGCCCAAGAAAAACTCATCTGCGAGTAATCTCAGTGTAACGCAGGTACCAGCAGACGCAGCAGCAGCTCACCCACATAACTAAGAGCACGTTTACATACAGAACAGTGACAAAAGCAAGCACCTTCCTGCCAGAATAGACCCCCTGAGTGAGAGACCCCCAGGTGAGAGTGAAAGTGTTTGCAATCCAGGTAGCCGTAAATTTAGAGCAAACCAGTGATCACCACTATTCCCATCTCACTCCTCTTCTGCATGGTTTCTAGGCTTCTGCCTGAAGCCACAAGTTGCTCTTGGGTTTGTTAATTAATGAGGTGGAGCACCTATGTTTGTGCTTGTATATGAATCACACTGCACGGCATAAGATAAACACCCCATCTTAGTGGATCTCACCGCTCCCCAAGGCAGGGAATATCTTATCATCTCCATCTCATACGCAGGGAACAGAAACACAGAGATGTGACGTGACATGCATGGGGTTAGAAAAGGGAGTTTTTAGGGGGCCAAGACACGGGACATTTGAATTCATGCCCAGCACATGGTTCTTTGATCTTCTGGATGTTCCTTCTCCACACTTCGGCCTCCGTTTATTTTCCTTTTTCTCATCTTCTTCTATTGCCTTGTAACTAGCTGTTTGCTTTCCCCCTTCTCACCTTCCTGCATCTTTCTCCCCTGCCCCTTTATTCCTGATCTCTCCAGAATGCTGTGGCTCTTCTAGTTCCTGCGTGAGGAGCATTTCACAAGGACGCTGGGCATCCTGCACCCGAAGGATCTTCCCCCCAACTCCTCCGGCAAGTGCCATCACCACTATCAAGTGCATCTAATTGTGGCTGAATCACAACGCAATGCATACCAAACATCCCATCCTGAGGTAAAGATCGTGCACGCTTTTCTGCTCCAGTCGGTAATTTCTCTTGCTGGTAAAAAGCTGCATCTCATTGCAGCTTGGGTGATTCTCACGGCACGTCTACATGTGAAAGTTAACTGCAGAGCACAAGTTCATGTTGTAAATTCCTAAGTACCGAAATGTCCTCACTTCACCTTCCAGCCATGAGTGTTTTTCTCCTCCCTGAGCTCACTCTGACTTTCAACATCTTTTTGAAAGAGTGGGCACTAGGACTTGGATCTTCTAATTACAGACTTTCCACTACACAGCTTGACTCCCTCGCTGTTAACCCGCCTTGATACGTTGACACATCTGAACATACCCAGTTATTTGCAAAGTTCTCAAGTCCTCTCCAGAGATGCTGCTCCTTTCCAAGACACACTTTTGTCTCCTGGCAGCCTGGCCCCCAGACTCTGTTCTTAAACAGACAGCCTTGCATACAGATGTATTGAAAATGCACTTTTGATGAAAGCCAGGTCAGTTGGGTGCATGTGCTTTTGGCCCACCACGCGCCATTTGCCGCCTCCACTAGACCAAGTGCTCCTGAGCACATCCTCACCTCAGCCTCTCCTCTCAAGCAGCTGCCTCAAGCTGTCCCTCTGTGTAGGTCAAGATGATGTCTTCATCACCCTCCAGTGACACACGTTTTGCTGGATGTAAGTCTACCATAAACAATACCCAGGCTGGAAAGGGTTTTGGCATGGCTGGACCCACATCCCAGGCTCTTCTCTGGAGACGGTGCCCAGCAGTATCGCCTCTCTGCCACAGCCTGTGCACGGCTGTTCTCCTGAGCTTTTGTCACCACCACCACTGCCCTGGCCCACAGCTAATTGCAGTGCAAACAACCCCTCTCCCAGCTCACCTTCCCTTCTGGCTCTGGCTCTCTTAAGCCCTTCTATGGACACGTGTCCATAGGGCTAACAGAACCGCAGACAGGCCAGCCCAGACTACTTTCCCATTCTCTGCTGCCAAAAGAAACTCACCACAGAAGTTACTCTAAACACAGCCAGCAAGAAAGGGAGTGAGACAAGAAGGAAGAGTGTTTTAGACAAGGCGGGCTAAGAGCACTCCCAGTGGGGAAACCTCTAATGTCTAGGGTCAAGCCAGGACACGATACAAACCAGCACAGTCTGCAGGCTGCAGGAGGTTAAGATCTTACTTCACTCCCTCTCTCCAGTTCCCAGCTGGCTCTCACTGGCCCTCGGCAAAGATCCTGCAAACCCACTCCTGGGTATTATAGCAGCTGCCAAGTCTTCTTGTGAGGCAGCTGTTGGGTTAAAATTGCACGTCTTCCTAGGTGGGGGATGACTTCGGTGGCATCTTCAGCTATGGAAAGGCTACAGCGAGAGAAGTAAAGATGAAGTACAACCTACCAGAGGTCATCAGACCTTCTGAGAAGCTGCAGTGAATTTGGCAAACTGGTATGAAACACATCCTCTGGACTCCAAGCTACCAGGCAGAGACCAGGCCCAAACGGCTTCTCTGAGACAGAAAGGGACAGAAAGGGAAGGGATCTAAGTAGCAGAGTTTGGAAGAAAGGAAGGAAAGGAGAAAGAATGCAACCCAATTTTTAGCAAAACAGACGCATTTAGCATTTGGAAGCAGTGCAAATGACTCAAAAAACACAGGATCGGTAACAATTTCCTCCGGTGGGCCAATACAAAAAAATATGCTTGCAGCAGGAGACTCAGCTCCGATCACTAGCTCTGCTATGCAAGCCCTCCCTGGGAACAGGCTCCAGGGACTCCTCTGACGCAGCCATTTCTGTATGCGAGGTGGCAAGCGCCTCCAGGAGTTATCAGCTGCCAGTCTCCAGATGACAAACACAGCCAGCCTGATTCATGCTCCTACAGATACAATCCTTCACTTCTCGTGCTTGCAGCGACAGGCACCGTGCAATTTATTTTCACATGTCTTGAGGACGTTTTTGTCACGAGTGCAGCAGCTACTAAATCCCAGCCAGTATCTCCGCCCTGTTTGCCACCAGATGGTACAACCGCAGCTGGAGTTGTAAGCAATGGACCTCCAACGTGTAGGACTTGGGTTCACATGGATGGGACAGCAGCCCCGAGCCATTCCTGCCCTGGGTTTATACACACTCATGCCCACCCTGCCTGCAGAAGCTTTGGCTCTTTCAGCACGGGATCACTGCCAGACTCAGCAGCTGCTCCTCACCCCAACAGCCAGGCACCAACTCCACTGAAAAAGCAGGGGGAAAAATGGAAGCGTTCAATGAGCCACTGTCAGCTAAAACATCTTTGCCTACAGCAGCCAAGTGGCTGTGTGAAAATAAATCAACAGAAGGGACTGCATTGCCAGGAAACTGTTCCTGGCTATTTTCAGTTCAGATCTGTAGGGCCCACTATGCATTGCCTCCTCCCTTCAGTGTGGACACCGGACTTATATGCAAGACCCTGCAGCTTAACCAGACACTGCTGCTGAAGGAGAGATGTTCAAAGGAATACAGTTGACCTTCCAGTAGCAACATGGTGTGCAATTACTCTGCCTCAGCTGACACAATGGTATTCATTAGGCTGCACTAACATGTCTTTCCAGAAAATCTGTTAAAATAGATGCGACTTCTAGGGTCTTGCTTCTTGGTTAAAGCATGAGAGCTCCAGTGGCTCCTGAGCCAAGAGGTCTTTTTCTCTGCTCTGTTACTCAGGAGTAGCAGGGGTGTAATGTAGAAGCCACATAGAAGTAACACAAGCCCAGGCTTTGAGAAGATGAGAGGTCCTGCCAAGTGACGTTTCTGTTCTTTCATGACTGACCAGAAGTCAGAGAATCAATTAAAGATCCACTCACCAAACTGCCTGTTATCTGCATCAGTGCAGGTATAACACTCCCAGGTTTGACGACAGCAGGAGGGCTAACGCAAATGGCATCCCAGCAAGAACGCAGCAAGAAGTCACTGCTTGGCTTTGGGAAAGCACAGAGAGGTTCAACCGCTCTGTGCTGCGTGGTTCCATCGACCGCCTCTAACCTGCCCTCCTCACCGTGAGCTGGGCAAGCGCAGCTTAGTCATTTCTCCTCAAGATAAGCCTCCGCAGCCACGATACAGCAGAGAAAAACAACAGGTCGTGAATAAAAATCCAAGTGCTTCACTACGGAACGAGCCGGGTCTGTTAGTGCCAAGTTACACATCGCAACATTCGCATTTTGGGACATCAAAGCAGAAACACTTGAGTTCTGCCTCGGCTTCTGAATAATCTTGAAAACATAAATAATTAAGTCAGAAAAATGCAGCGAGAGCACTGAGCACTGCAAGTCCTTCGAGCCCTGCTGTTCTCCCAGGCAGACATCTTTTATTCTTCCTTCCCTTTGCTTTGCCTTTGATGGGGTGTTTCTTACCTGTTTTCACAGCCTATTTCTGACAAGGCAAGGAACTCTGCTCTAAGCCTGATACAATCTGATCTTTAAATACACTGCTACATAACCGAACCTATCGCTTTTTATTCTCAACTTTACTTTCTCTTAATGGTTTTAATACTTTACAGATGCAGGTGGAGGGACAGGGGCAGGAAACAACCCTGGTGTAAGAGTAAAACTGGCCAGAGATCAAACAACTGTATCCTGAAATTCAAAATAGATTCAATTAGACCTGACACGGGAACAAAAGGAAAGGTTGTGTTTTGTTACAGCACAGACAACAGTGTTTCAACAACAGGATGGAGTAAGAAACCTGGTCTTATAGGTCTTTTTCATCTCCAGAGCGAATTCCACACGAGGGACTTTCCTGGCACTATAGCAATTAACACAATCTAGTTCATCCTTTTTATGATTTTGGAACACGCTTATTGCAGATGTTAAAACCATTATGAGAAAAATATTTCTGAACAGTCTAAGGCTCGTCTGGGCAATCAGATTAGAGATTTGTAAAAATGAAGAGGATACAAAGACGGAGTGAATGGCAATGAATTATGGACTTTATCTGAAATTTAAGACTTTCTCCAGTGGTTTGACTTTATGCAGAAAATGCAGCCAGGGAGAACTAAAGCAAATTGGTTTAATTCCCTTGAGGAAACAGGAACACATTTTCCCAGCAACTTTCAGCTACAAGCACGCGTGACTGCAAATTTGGATGGAATGTACAATCAGTAATCTACAAACCGGTAATAAAATGAAACATTAGCCTTTCC